TAGTCGGTAAGGCTCGTTCTGGCCATGTGGCCGGCCCATCTGAGTCTTCTTCTCTCGATCACTTCCACTGGATCTCTGAGTCCCGAGAGCTGGCGCATATCCGTACTTCTTAGGAAAACCCACAGAAAATTTATTCTTTTGCTATTTCCATGTTTAATTGACAAAATGGCACGCAGTAAACTTATTGAATACAAGGAATAACTAATTGAAAAGAGCAAAATAGAAAAAATAATGAAAGCAAACACATAAACATAAACAGAAACAAAAACAGAAACAAAAACATAAACAAAAACATAAACAGAAACAGAAACAGAAACAGAAACAAAAACAGAAACAGAAACATAAACAGAAACAGAAACATAAACAGAAACAAAAACAGAAACAAAAACAAAAACAGAAACAGAAACAGAAACAGAAACAGAAACATAAACATAAACAGAAACATAAACAGAAACAGAAACATAAACATAAACATAAACAGAAACAAAAACAGAAGCAGAAACAGAAACAGAAACAAAAACATAAACAAAAACAGAAACAGAAACAGAAACAGAAACAGAAACAGAAACAGAAACAGAAACAGAAACAGAAACAGAAACAGAAACATAAACAGAAACAAAAACAGAAACATAAACAGAAACAGAAACAGAAACATAAACAGAAACAGAAACAGAAACAGAAACAGAAACAGAAACAGAAACAGAAACAGAAACAGAAACAGAAACATAAACAGAAACATAAACAGAAACAAAAACAGAAGCAGAAACAAAAACATAAACAAAAACAGAAACAGAAACAGAAACAGAAACAGAAACAGAAACAGAAACAGAAACAGAAACAGAAACAGAAACAGAAACAGAAACAGAAACAAAAACAGAAACATAAACAGAAACAGAAACATAAACAGAAACAGAAACAGAAACAGAAACAGAAACAGAAACAGAAACAGAAACAGAAACAGAAACAGAAACAGAAACATAAACAGAAACAAAAACAGAAACATAAACATAAACATAAACATCAACAGAAACATAAACAAAAACATAAACAGAAACAAAAACAGAAACAGAAACAAAAAAGACACAAAACAAACAAAAACATAAAAACCAACCCGATTCGAATCCATTTCGTAAAAAAAATGAGGAAATTGATGATTTCTTTGCGAACTCAAATTTTTTATGCAAATTTCTTAGCAACTTGATTTTGAATTCCTTTCTTTCAATCAAAATTGAACTTTTAACTTTCTTTCCCTATAGTTTTTCTAAGGAATCTTCTCTACGCACACTCTCCTCAGATTGCTTTTGAGATTGTGCTTGTAGCAAGAACAGAAGCAGAACCTAGGTGTAACAGATTAGAAAAAACAACTCAGGTGTAACAGTGATCGAAAAGACGAACACCTAGAGACGAATAGTGATTAATCTTCCCATTCAAAGGAAAAAGCACACGACTTTCTCACATATAAAATAGCTCAAAAGGTAAGATGTTCATCAGAAAATCAAATGAGATCTTCAATTTTTATTTTTCATCATAAATCCTTGTTTAATCTTCTTAAAACATCAACATTCCCTTTATTTTTCTTTTCTCATAAACTTTTTGCTTTATTTCTTATCATCATCAACCTCTACAAAAGAAAAATTGTAATAAAATCGATTCTTGAAATACTTTTTGGATCTTTCACAAATTATTGGGTTGGTGAGTGAAAACTGCGGGACTTTGAACTAAAATTTATTCAACATAAAACCATCAATTCATTCCAAATAATTTCCATATTATTTCCATTATTATTGACGACTTCTGCCCATTTTACAGGCAATTTGCGGATTCCTCTTTCGTAGTAGGATTTTGGTTTGTGTGTGAGACAAGTGTGAGACTCAAAAATGGAGGACTGGAGACTCAAAAATGGAGGAATGTCCCAGTTTGAGCATTTGAGCACTTTCTTCAAAAGAAACCCATTTTGGTGTCAATAGAAAAGTTGTAGAGAATCAAAAATTAGGCTTATAGCCAAATTTCCAAAAAGATACACGTAGTAGTTTCGCTTAAAATCCAGGTTTTGTGAAAATTTGGCATTTCTTTTGTGTAAATTTGGCATTTCTTGAAAACCAGTTTTTGAATCGTTCTGAAAATTTGGATATAAGCTTGATTTTTGATTCTCTACAACTTTTCCATTGACACCAAAATGGGTTTCTTTTGAAAAAAGTGCTCAAACTGTCACATATGACAATAGCCCGCAGTTTTCAATTCACTAACCCAATAAAATCGATTTTTGAAATACTTTTTGGATCTTTCACAAATTATTTTGACCGTAAATTGTTTATTTTTATTATTTTGGAAGTTTTTCTTTTGAAATTCGAAGCCTAGGCAGTATTTTCAAAGTCAAACTTCCATCTCTTGATTGAACTCTGTAAAAGCATTTCTTTTGTGCTTTTCTCTAGTGCATTTAATGGATTTTCATTTGTTTTCAATTCTTTATATCTCCATTCTCAAAAACAAGAATCTTAGCTGTGAATTGATTACTTTTTCACTTCATTGTTGATCTATTATAGTAATTTAGCCTTTGACTCAATTCGATCTACAACATTTCCTACTTGTTGTCTCAAAAAAAATGCGGTTGTCATGTTAACAGGAAATGCCTGCAATTATTTTATATTTATTTTAATCTTTCTATTTCCATTGTTGATTTCAAAAGATATTCTTTGGAATGGAATAGATCCTGGTGCGGAAAACAAAATCGTGAACGAGACTTCTTTCCTATTCAGGTTTTAAAAATGTTAAAATCTATTTGACAAATCATTTAGGTACATCGAAAAAGTAAGTAGCGAAAATTTGACACTAACATGTGCTCGTCCGCCTGGCGCATTTGTTTTGTGAGTGAAATTATATTGGGTTGAGGAGTATGAAATGGCGCCGACTCTCAAAGATTCAAAGACTTCGATAACATTTTGTATTCTTTATCAAATGACACGCGGGTAGTATCATTAGAAAGGTCACTGATTTCTCTACAAAATCATCTTTGAAATAGAATTCAAAAAGCGTCCTAATTCAATAAAAGGTTGTGAATGTCGAGTTGATGTTTGCTAAAACTGTCCTGGGGGTAATCAATGGCGTGGAAATGGAACAAAGAGAAATGGGTGTAGCTAAACATTTGCCGTTTTCTAGATGAACAATCAAAAAGCTCCCTAATAAAACATTCTTTTTTTCAGAAAATCTATAAATCGCCATTAAGGGAAAATGACTGACAAGATCACTAAAAAAATTTTGGCTACTTTTGTAATTATGCTTTTTTATAGACATAACTTATATAGACTTATATAGATACTTTAGGACCTGAGATAAAGTGCACTAGATTTAAGATTAATACACATGTATTCACATAACACGAAAAGGGCCGATAAAAAGCAACACGATATAATATTGGGTTGGGGAGAATGAGTCGGCGCCAAACTTTAAAGGGACTTTTTGCACACATAAAGCCTTCTTTAAACATACGTTTGGTTTCATCAAAAGGATCCACTATTTCTCTACAAAATCACTTTTGAGAGATTCCACAAAGCTTTTCTTTTTTGGGATTTTATGGATTCCCAAACACAGCTAATCAAAATGACAAAAAGTCCGACTCATTGCTTGAACAGTTTCTTCCACATAAACCTTCTTTGGTGTTTATATAAAAAAGATAGAGCACATTCAATTACATAAGTTACCAAATTTGCAGGAAGATCCCACCAATGGTTTTTTCTAGATGACAGTTTGTAGTTTTTGTGAAAAAATGGCTTTTTCTTGAGCGGAGGCGCTGTTTGAGTTCTCTTTTAAATATTATTTTGTAGAGAATTAGTTACCCTTCTACGGATATCAAACGCATATCATTTGACAAAGTCTGCTATAAGTTTTAGAAATTTCTTTGATTTTCGGCGCCGACTCATTCTCCCCAACCCAATATATGTTATATATGGGCATCACAGATAGCGTCAGGGATCCACTAGAGCTTAGGCTTAGGAAGAAAAAGGATCCACTAGAGCTTCAAGATTAACATCATCTACTGATCTAATTTGTTTTTGTCTTGAAATCAAGTAAAGTTTATGTGTAAGAAAAGAGTCAAACGACGATCAAACGACGGACTTCATTTTGACTAGTTTCGTTTCAGATTCCATAAAATCCACAAAACAAATAGTCCTCGGAATCCCTCAAATGCCATTTTGTAGACCATTGATAGACCTTTTTAATTATAAAAACAATAGATTATATGAAGCTTTTATGCTTTCCAGAAAGTCGGCACTATTTCATGCTCGCCAACCCAATAACTAGTTAAACTTCTTTTTCAAATCACCTAAATATTGCTGTTTCCTCGTTTACAGTTGGAAATTCCCCAATTCGAAGCCCAATCGTGCAAACTTTTCCTCAGATGAACTACGAAGTCGAATCAGATTTCAGCATGATCTTTTGGTAGGAGATACAACTGAAAGTTGAACATTTCTTTGTTTAGCAATCAAAACTACACATTCACAGTCTAAAAACAACAGACACGGGAGAGTACTCGTGTGAAGTACAAGGGAAACCACTACGTGATACTATTTTTCTCTTTGTACGAGGTTAGAGCTTTCATGAAAAATGCTCATTTAAAAAAACTATTGTAGTCAAACAGTGTCTCTTTATTATTGATAATTCTACACACATCTACTACTACTACTACTACTACACACACACACACACAGTATCTTGATGGAAAGTAGCAAAGTTTAGGCAAAAAAGTATTCCTGTCAAACAGTGGCAAAGTTTAGGTGAAAAAGTGTTCCTGCCAAACAAGAATTCTCCGTTGTCGGTGAATTTGAAAGATTTCTATGTTCCATGCGAAACGTCGTCACCAATTTCACGTAAATCTGCTCAAATCTAAACGGATTCAACTTCATTTTTCAGGCAATAAACTCAAGTTATTCATTGACGACAAAGAATGGAAAGAGGCTTGTATGGTGGGCAATCGTTTGCTTTCCCCAGATGAGCTTCGACAAATGAGGTAAGGGTGTAAAAATTGAGATGAGAACAATTCAATTCAACAATTCAATTCAACAATTCAATTCAACAATTTAATTCAACAATTCAAAAGAAATCAATTTAGGGAAACACAAAATCTTAGCAAAGGAAACGACTTGAATTGCTCAAAAGTGTCGGAGAATTTTCATGCGGGGTGAAATTCCCTGTCAATTCTTTCTATTCCGTCGTTTTAGCCATGGATTTTTCATCACATCAAGCAAGATGCCATTTAAATGGAGCCAAATCAACAATAAACGACTTCGATGTGAATATGAAGATGAATTTGTTTCTTTTTTAGCTCAAGTAAGTAAACAATTACAATTCCTTTTCATAAGTGCATTTACAGGCGACACAGTCAATTTCGGGCTTTACGGGTAAGCTTTATCTGTTGTTAATAAAGTAAAGAAATGAATGACAAAGAATTTGGAATCGACCGGGAATTGAATCCTCGACTTTCGGCAGATTTTTTCGTTACCAAACATAATTTCCGCGAAAATTCCATCTGGAAAGCATATTTTCCGCGACTTTAATGTAAAAATGTAAAGTTTTTGCAAAAAAAAAATCTTAATTAAAAAGCAGTGAGATCAAACAAAAAGCTGATCGTAAAAAGAAAAGAAACGTAAAAGAAAATAAGGATTTAAAAATGGAAAATACATTGGGAATTGTAAAATGTAAGTGTAAAAAAAGAGAGAAATAAACTATCAGATTTGCCTATAAGTCTTGGTAAAACTTTGTTTCTTTCGGAATAATTGTTGATGCGCTTGACCGTTTCGTTCTGTTTACATCCAAAAAGTCGGCTTATCACTTTTGAAAGGGATTGATAAGCCAAAAAGTCAGCTTATAAATCTTTCAAAACATTTCATACGCAGACTTCAATGCTTCTTCTATTTTTTTTGTTGATTATTTTTATTCAAAGGTTAGAGGTTAGAGGCACTCCAGATTAGAGTGTGTTCCTATTGGATAATGCGTTTTCTAAAATGCACCTATTTGAGAAAAGCTTTGAGAAAGCTTTGAGAAAGCTATCGTAGTCAAACCGTTAGTTTACATGCAATCAGTCCGATTTTGGTATCATTGATTGAGCCTTATAATTCCTCATTGAATGATACCAAAATCGGAGTGATTGCATGTAAACTAAAGCTTTGATTTACGATAGCTTTCTCAAAGCTTTTCTCAATTAGGTGCATTTTAGAAAACACATTATCCGATAGAACACACTCTACTCCAGATCTTCTACCAGGACATCTGAGACACTATTTTGTACAAGTTCAAAAGGATCTTCTTTGTCGGTGGCCCAGAATAATATTGAAAATGTGTATGACAATTCGCTCCTTCTCAAAACACAATTCAACGTTGGTTTGCCAAGTTTAGAAATGATAAGAATTCCCTTGAAGACGAAGAACGTGCGGGAAGACCTTCTCAATTGAAAAACGAAGAGACTCTTCAAAAAAATTCAACACAACCCTCGGATTTCTACTCGTGAAATAGCGGATGCGATTGGGCACTCACATTCAACAATTGAAAGACACCTTCAGCTGGGTTTTAAGTCACCTTTTGTCAATTGGCTTAAACATCATCTGATGCATTGCGATAATTATGAAATCGCTTTTCTTTAACCACAACCTTCAAACACTCAAGGAAAAATTCCGGTTCCAAGCACATTATCTGCTAAACCATTTGGTTGTGCTCTTTAAAAAGTGAGAGAACCCTTGCTACCATTACCAGCGTAAACCCCTAAATTTCAATTGTTTTCTCAACCGTTTCTGAATTTGGGCAAAAACTAAAAGCGGATTTCGATTCCCGATACTTGATAGGCGTTTGCATCCCAAGCGCGTCAAAAACCGGGCTGATCAATCATTCCCTTGTCAGTGGTAGAGAATCTGCCCGGTAAGAAGAAGGTCCAAGGTTCAATTCCCGGTCGCTTCCAAATTCTTTTCCGTCATCTCCTTGTGAGCTATCGGCGCTTTCTTTGCCCAAGAAGAAATAGGAAAGAAAATGAAGAAGTTGAAGTTTATTTAAACCATTTTCTAGGCGGAAAAGCCGCACTGAATTGTACTTTGTCTAATCGAGAAATCTTGTTTCTCGATGTTCAAAGGGGACGGTTAAAGCTTTCTTGTCCATTGTGTGACCCAAATGCTGATCAGGTTTCATTATGACAAGTGAAAATCCTCAAAACAAATCCTAGTCTATCATTGATCGAGTATTTAAACGATTCGATGATAATGACACGTTGAGAGAAGCTATCTCATTCTGGCAACACTCTCAGAAGAACATCAGCAAGTTTTGTGAATGGTGGGAACTCTTTGAACAAACAAATAACACATCTTTCAGTATGATTATCGAAAGTTTGATACGAGCCCCGCCTTTGCCATTGGCAATCTAACTTTGAGCTCAAATATTTTGGTTTTGGGCTGTCCGATTTAAATAGTTTTGGTATCATTGAATCCGCCAAGTCTTTCTCTATTGATTGTTACAAAAACTATTTAAATTAAACAGTTCAACACCAAGATATTTGAGCTCAAAGCTAGATTACCAATGGCAAAGGGGGCGGGGCGACGGACCTTTTCTACGCGCCCCGCCTTTGCCATTGGCAATCTAACTTTGAGCTCAAATATTTTTGTTTTGGGCTGTCCGATTTAAATACTTTTTGTACCAATCGACAGAGAAAGACTTGGCGCATCTAATGATAGCAAGGATCTTTAAATTGAACAGCCCAACATCAAAATATTTGAGCTCAAAGTTGGTATACCAATGGCAAAGGGGTGGGGCTCGTTTAAAATGTCCCACAACCTTCAGCATTGATCAAATTGGCGACGGGAAGAGTTGCAAATTCCTCTCCAATTCTTCGATTTCACCCGAACAACTACCAGTGGTGACTTTAAACATTTATTGTGTCAAAAAAGGCGTTTAAAGTTCGCTGAACTAAAGTTGTCTCAATCGACGATTGTGACTCCACTTCTCTTTTTGCTCTCGTCTCTAGCTGTTCTCATTTTCTGCATTTTTTTCATTTTACAAAAGGCTCAAAGAAGCGAAACGTAAGTTAAATGTTTATTTTGGTATTAGAAATTTTTGACGTGATAGATCCCACTCAAGTGATAGAGAAATGAAAGAAATGACTCCATTACAAATGGAAATTCTGATGGAAGCTGCTGTTGATTTTCATGAAGATATTCAGGCAAGCGATTTAAAACTTTTATTACATATCTTTCTAAAGATTGTTAAAATCGAACAAACATATGAAGAGCGATCTATTGGAGTTGGAGAGTTCGGGAAAGTCTGTGAATTGATCGATCACAATCCGTGAGATAATCTATGACTAAAGCTTCTTTCAGACGACTTCAGACGTAAACTTTTAGGCCAGCCGTCAAGAAGTGCTTGAGAAAGAAATCCCAAACCGATTCACAAACGAGTCTCATGCGTTTTAAACAAGAATTCATGATCTTGAGAGCATTGAATCATCCAAATGTTGTCCATTTATTACACATGGAAACAATTGAAGGATCAAATGATTTCGGGATCGTTATGGAGTACTGTCAACGGGGGAATCTTGGAAATAGTAAGGGAAATAGTAAGGGAAATAATCAAAAATAATATCAAATATCAGAAATAACCATTTTTTTAAGTTATGTGTAACCCAAGGATCATCTACTCGATGAAAACGGTGATTGTTTGGAGTGAAGAGCTCTTTGATGCTGTTGATTATATGTTTCGAGAGCACAAAGTGATACATCGAGATATAAAACCGGAAAAGTAAAGAATTTTGAAATGCAAACGACAGTTTTTTTTTCAGTATCTTTGTCACAATGGATTTTGTTTTAAAAATTGGAGACTTTGGCTTAGCGAAGTTCATCGAGAAGACGTGTGTGGGAAGCTTTGCTGGCACACATCGCTATATGAGCCCAACAAGGTCGAAAGAGGGTGATGACTTGCAGGTGAAATATTTTCGTTTGTATTAAAAAGAATCGATTTGATAGCAAACTATAGAATGGCCACTGAATAGCTGAATAACAATAGAAGAGCTACTGAATAGCTGACTAACTATAGAATAGCGACTGAATAGCTGAATCTATAGAATAACCACTGAATAGCTGAATAGCTGAATCTATAGAATAACCACTGAATAGCTGAATAGCTGAATAACTATAGAATAACCAATGAATAGCTGAATAGCTGAATAGCTATAGAATAACCAATGAATAGCTGAATAGCTGAATAACTATAGAATAACCACTGAATAGCTGAATAGCTGAATAACTATAGAATAACCAATGAATAGCTGAATAGCTGAATAGCTATAGAATAACCAATGAATAGCTGAATAGCTGAATAACTATAGAATAACCACTGAATAGCTGAATAGCTGAATAACTATAGAATAACCAATGAATAGCTGAATAGCTGAATAACTATAGAATAACCAATGAATAGCTGAATAGCTGAATAGCTATAGAATAACCAATGAATAGCTGAATAGCTGAATAACTATAGAATAACCACTGAATAGCTGAATAGCTGAATAACTATAGAATAACCAATGAATAGCTGAATAGCTGAATAACTATAGAATAACCAATGAATAGCTGAATAACTATAGAATAACCAATGAATAGCTGAATAACTATAGAATAACCAATGAATAGCTGAATAACTATAGAATAACCACTGAATAGCTGAATAACTATAGAATGACCACTGAATAGCTGAATAACTATAGAATAACCACTGAATAGCTGAATAGCTGAATAACTATAGAATAACCAATGAATAGCTGAATAGCTGAATAACTATAGAATAGCCATTGAATAGCTAAATAGCTATAGAATAGCCATTGTATAGCTGAATAACTATAGAATAACCACTGAATAGCTGAATAGCTGAATAACTATAGAATAACCACTGAATATCAAACTATAGAAGCAAACAGAAGTTGTGTAAATAAAGAAAACCCCTAATATCTTTTAGGCATCTCACCGGAACGACGTGTATGCTCTGGGACTTGTTTTGTGGGAAATCGTTGAGAGAAGGTTCAAGATTCAATTCGAATGTCGGAAAAATTGTTTATTTAGAATGGTTTTCTGGGAATACGGCTCAAGGGGAAGCTTTAATCCGTATAATTTCCTAGCAGATATCATTCAAAAGAAGCTCAAGCGATTGAGTACACCGAATTGTCAACGGGAGATCCGAGAGCTCATTAAGAGGTGATTCAGAAATGAAAAATGAGAAAATAAGTTAGTTTTTTTGATCCAAATCCATTTAGATGTACAAATTTTGATCGTTCATCCCGGCCGATGGCTGTTGAAGTGCTCGAAGAGATCAGGAGAATTGAGCAGGTTGAGAGAAATCAAGAATGAAAGATCGAAACGTTTAACCTATAGAGTGATTCATTCATTTCATCACTCCTCTTGAAACCACTCGAAAAAAACGAGCAACAAAAAGTGCTTCGACCAATCGGATTCGATGGTACAAACAATGAAATTCCAATTGATGGGAGTGAGGAGAATTCGTGTACCTCTTTCGATCTCGTACCTCATTCGGTTTATTTATCAGTTCTTTGATAAGTAAAATAAAGAAACTTGATTGAGTGATTTAGAAGTTTTAAGAACTTTTTGATTGTCAACCTTAATTTTGCCACTATTCGAACTTGGCAAATTGACAAAACGGTAAATTCTAAAGGATTCATGCTTTTTTGCTGTTATTTTGCTCTTTGTGCTCAGATCGATGTGCTTGAATTGCACAGTTGACAAGATTTATTGCCCAATTGACCAGATTTCTTTGTTTTTCTTGATCTGTTCAATGTCAGTTGTTTAATGAAACAAAAAATGCTTCCAAGTCAACGTTTTTCTTAAACTTTCTTTGCTTAATTGCCGGAATCGCTTCAATTCTATCACGATCATCTGAACAAGTATACTGTTCTAGTATATCTAGTATACTGTTTCTAGATTAGAATTCAGCATTCAGATGTTTTCCAAAATGTAAACCTCTGGAAATTTGTTAATAATGATGATGAGTTGTTTCATATAGACAACTGTTTCATATAGACAACTACCGTATTTTCTCTAATAGTAGTGCACCCAGAGCGTCGTCTAAATTCCTCGAAATCTCGAGAGCCGCTTATCAGAACCTATTGATGTGGGGTCGGAAAATGTAGCTGACAATGCGCTCTTGTGGGAGATTTGAGTGTTGAGCTTCTGCAAAAGCTTGGAAACCGTAAAATAGTCATCAACTCGGATCGCCGGGGTGCCCTACTATTAGAGAAAATACGGTAATCAATTTAATGAATGAAAAAAATTGAAAGTAAAATGGTAGACTTGGTTTCACGTTTAACGCGTTCAATGCAATAAACATTAGTTAACAAACCTTGAGTTTCAAGTTAAAGGAAATGAAATCCAGGAATGCCTAATCAATGCATTAATTCTTTTACATTTATTAATCCTAATTGATCTTAATCTTATACATTTGGCCAACCGTCAATCCACTATCGAACTCGAAATGATATCCCAAACTCGACTCTTTCATCTCCGCTATTGATTCAACGAACAAATGCTTTCTCATTCTCAATTCATATGAGCAATAGTACAACGTTTCTGTGAAGTTTTCATTCAGAAACCTAGAATTTCCTATACTATTTCTTCCTGTTTCTTGTTTCCTGGACTGTTTTCCTATATTGTTTTTCTATATTTTCTATATTCCTATACAATTTGGATATTCTCTCCAAAGTACTGTTGGCAAAATAAACTTTCTATTGATCCATCGATTTCAACGTAGACTTATGAATTTCAAAATGCAAAGTTAGATGCAAAGAACAATGCAAAGCTTTGCATTTTTTTGCACACAAAAAAGCTACTTTCTTTTATAGAGAGCACTGCTTTTGTAATCAGAGTTAATAAATTCATGAACATTAGAGAATCATTAGATACATTTAAGAATTGCTTTTACTGAAAAGTTTTATGAACACCGTTAGGATTTGTAAAAGAGTGTATAAAACGTAAATATTAGGTTGGAGAGAAAGTTTTTGTTGATTTTTTGAGATATTGTCTTCAACTTGTCCGATCTGGACTTGTAATAGTTCATTCAAAAGCTAATTTTCTAGCGGATTGGCTTATAAAACGGTTTTTTTTGAATATATCAATTTTCAAAGTTTTTGCAGCGGTTTTACCGAACGGCGTCAGACCGCAAATTTCAAAAAAATTAATTTCTTTCGTTTTCTTGTACGGAAACCTAGGCTAAAACCATGTTTTTCGGAATCAGCGTTGTAAATTACCCTAGAAAACGTAAAAGCTCATTCTTTTAGCAAAGTTTTTACAAAAAACCTGCCGGAGTCGGATCCTCGACCCTCAGATCACCGCTTTCAGAGCTCTGACCGGACCGGCAACCACAACAGAACCAACAACCTCAATCACTACCATTCAAGCAATTTCAAGCACTGTAGCCTTGAATAGCTCGCTTTTTTGTTTGTTGGATGAGTCTGGGGAGGCATATCATTTCGAGGAGGTTATTTGTAAGAGGGTTCCTAACGAACGAGGATAAATTGTAGGCAATGCAAGTGGCAATGCAAGTGGAATGCCAATGCGGAGACTATTGTATAGCGGACTATTGTAAATTGTAAATGTAAGCTTTTTTTGTAAGCTGCTTTTGTAAGCTGTTTTTGTAAGCTTTTGATGTTGAAAATCTAATAAGTGTGTTTAGATTGTAGACGACTTTCGAGATTTCGACTTTTGGAGTGTGGCTGTGAGCTTGATGAAGCTGGCGGCTGCTTGATGAAGCTGGTGATGTGCCGAAGAATTTGATGAATACATCTGTTGCACGTTTTAAGCTGGTCCTGCACAGTTTTGTGCAAATTCTGTGCAAAACCTTAATGAAAAATTCATCATTTTGCACAAAGCAGAAAGAATAAGAACGAATCCAATAAGAACAAGTGTACAAAACCTTAATATTTATTATTGAGTCTGTACAATTCTCGGAATCAATGATTTCCCTCGATAAGTCGACGATTATGAGTCGAAATTTTGTCCGCATGGTTGAGCTGCTTCTGAAAAACAAGTTTCTTACAAGTTTTCCTTAACGTTTTCAAATTAACGAAACCTGGCATTTCCTGGAGATCCCTCTTTGTCGTTTTTCGAACTCGTAAACCGCTAGCGATTTCCAGTAAACTATTCTTATGTTTTACGTTTTCTAGGGTAATTTACAACGCTGATTCCGAAAAACATGGTTTCAGCCTAGGTTTCCTTAAAAAAAACGAAAGAAAATTAATTTTTTTGAAATTTGAGGTCTGACGCCGCTCAGTAAAACGGCTGCAAAAACTTTGAAAATTGATATTCTAAAAGACCGTTTTTTTTTAATCCAATCCGCTTGAAAATTAGCTTTTGAATGAGCTATTACAAGTCCATCTCTCGATAATATTTATTATTGAGTCTGTACAATTCTCGGAATCAATGTTTCCCGTCGATGAGTCGACGATTATGAGTCGAAATTTTGTCCGCATGGTTGAGATGCTTTTGAAAAACAAGTTTCTTAAAAGTTTTCATTAACGTTTTCAAATTAACGAAACCTGGCATTTCCTGGAGATCTCTCTTTGTCGTTGTTCGAACTCGTAAAACGCTAGCGATTTCCAGTAAACTGTTCTTACATTTTCCAGCAAGCGAATAAACTCGCAATCTTTTGATGGGAGTTTTTGGTGTATGAAAACAAAAAGTTTGATGTTTGCATGTGGGGCACATGTGTTAGTCATTGTCAAATAGTCACCCATCAAGTTGTCGCACCTAAACAAAATTCTTTCAGCTTATTGTAGAGTGCGCGTTGTTAGCTTCTATTGAAATGATTCGAATGCTTATTCTGTCATTCAATAGATAGGATTAAGCTATCAATATAATACAAGCTGATGAGATATCAATAAAAAAATCTAGCATTAATTCAAGAAAAACAGAAAAACACTGAAAACTAGAAAAATCGACCCTTGCTGCCCCAAAAATCTATCACTTTGCCAATGGCAATTGTACAAATACTTGTTTTTCATGACTTTTATGAATGGTCAATATTGGTTCATTCTACTGATAAAAGCTGATAAAAGCCACCTCACGGTGGCTCCACGTTGGTTTATCACCCAAGGCTTGCTATCCTCTTGTCAGCCCAACGTTGGTGTGTCTCCATAAAAAAATTTTGAAAATGAGAAAGAACTCTCCCAAAAAAATCGAAGCCGGGCACTTCACCCTGCTCACGGTGTCAGAGACGGGCCCGCTAACCACTCGGCCATGCCATCCTGTTTTTAGCCCTCGAGGCGGACGAGCTAATAACTGCTCGCGCCGCAAAAAGGGCCGCGGTGCGATTCGGTCGATGCGATGGGTTGATTTTAACTTGGAATTTCTAACAAGGGAATGATCCAAATTTAAGGTGTAGGATTGGATTGGCATTATGAAAGAAAAGGTATTTCGGACATGGGGAATCCGATGCTGTATTTAGTTTTTGCCTAAACCCCTTGGTTTTCGAGAAAAACTCATTGCAAATTTGGGTACCTACGCTAATGGCCGAGCCTCCGGTCTATAATGGTTCTTTCCCTGTCAACCATGCATGGCTGAATTGTGTGGTGGTAATTGTACGCGCTTTCAACCTTACTGTTGCCTTTTGCCCACGATTGTTAAAGTTTATTTCAAAATCGGCTGCGACATTTATATTGATTGTTTGCAGGGGTGAATCTTGGCTATCGAATGGTGTCAAAATTATCAAAATCGATGCAGTATAGGCTATTCTAGAGCGCTATTTGCTAGTTCACACTACCGATAACCGAATTGATCCGGGAGCTTGGAAAGTTTAATCCTATAAGTTACATCGTTTTTTCTTTGACGTACATTTGATCGACCGCTTCATCACCATTTTCACACAACCTCGTGATGTTTTTTCGCACATCATCGCCCCCTCTAAAGTCCTCTTTAGTATAGTCATATCCTGGAAGTTGCCATGAAAACTTTTTTTTTTCTTTTTGAAACCTCCATAATAAAAATGTGGCTTCTTCATTCGAGGAAACAAGTGAAGAAAGATGCTCACTTTAACGTTTGCTCACTTTTATGACGATCCGATGAAAGGCACAGCTAATAGGAAACGATGAAACTTTGATGAACACTTCATTTGTCAAAATTGGAACGACCTCGAGAAGAGCCCAATATCTAACATGTACGAATGAGCCGCTAGTTTTCGAGAACGAATGTTTCAGAAGCCTAGACTAGGCATGGTTTTTTGAGGACACAATTTTTGCTAGGCGCAAGAAATCAAAACCGCCCCGAAAATGTTGTATTTCGGTTGGGTTTTCGGGCGAAAGGTCTCTCGATCACTTGAACCAAAGTGGACCAAAAAGTGGACCAAAAAGTGGACCAAAAAGTGGACCAAAAAGTGGACCAAAAAGTGGACCAAAAAGTGGACCAAAAAGTGGACCAAAAAGTGAACCAAAAAGGCCTTTCAGTCGCGTTCGTTTCCTTCCTATTTGCATTTAATTTGCGTCTCATTTTCGTCTCATTTTCTTCCGCAAATTGTTCTCTGGTTTTTTCGAGAATTTTTTCGAGCTTTTTTTTGGTTTGCGGTTTTGCCTTCGTTCTTTTGAGGATTTGATGTTTCTATTCATGCGCATGCTGTTTTTGTAATAGATATCGTTGTATTTTGGTTCTGTACTATTAGGTTGATGCAAAAGTCTTTTTCATTTTTTTCGTCTGCCGTTTCAAGCCAACAAATGCACCAATTAAACTACGGTTGATTTCATTAGAAAAACCAATTATTTTTCTGCAAAATAACATTAAAACGGGTTTAAAAATATTTAATGCCTGGATTTTCTTGAGAGTATGAAGTCGGGTAGTCAAAAAGGGCTAACTCGATGATGCGGTTTAGACACCTTAGCTAAAGAAAACCTATCTTCGTGTCAATAGATAAAAGATAGAGAAAAAAAAGTTTGATATTTCGCCAAAATTTCAGAGAAATTCATTCAGCCAATTTTCCGTAGAGTTTTTTATAGATTTTTACGAAAAAGGCGTTTTTCACTCTCGAATTTGCTTGAAAGTCAACCGAAATTCATTTAAAAAGATGCAAATTCAACAAAAAAACACTTTTTTTATAGAGCAAACTATAGATTAATTGGTGAATTTGTTACTTTTTAACAGAAGTACGAAAAAAATGAAAAAGACTTTTGCATCAACCTAATAATAAACCGTAAAATTATAATTCGAATTTACTTTACACTATCCTTAAGGCTTTAAATCCTGTTTAGATAGCTGATCGAACATCATAGAAAGAGAATTTTGGTTAGGTCTCACGCCTAGTTCTCACGTTTCAGTCAATCCTGGTTGGACAGAGTTTAGATGGGTTTAGATAGGCTTAGATAGGCTTTAATTAGCCTTAGATAGGCTCTGAATAGCGTTAGATAGCCTTAGATATACTTTCGATAAGCCTGTCTCAAAACAGGACCAGGATTCGACCGAGTTCGGTTTCTAGATCTTGCAAAACATCATAGAATTTACTAATCTTTTACTAATTCACTATCGACTCCGTTGTGTCCTCGTATCACGAGCGTTAACCTTATGCTGGATGTTGCATGGTCTTGCTATGTTGTGAGCGTTTTGAGGAAACCCGTTTAACCTTTTGTTCTACTCGACTGAGACCGGTCAAGCTAAGCTTCTACGTACTAGTCTAGCGTACTTAAAAACGTACTTTTAAGTATAAAATATTGTAAATCGATTCGAAAAAAAAACTTGTTAATACCGGCGAAGTCACCGGCGAAACATGGACACATTGCACCGCTTTGACTTGATGTGGCCAATGCGAGAAAACCGGGGAAGCTATTTGACGTGGTGCAATTTCTGGGATTAATGACAGTCGAAGGGCATCGTTTAAGCGTACTTTTACTAGAATAGCATCTCGAAGCTCTGTTGGTAAACGTTTGATAGGAAATTTTCTCCCAAAATTTCGAATATAAAATGGTGTGTTCCGAAAAGCTACTCGTAGACCAAGTAGGGTAACTTTTTGCGAATACACATGAACTTTCGGTGAAATGCTTTCGTAATAGGCGAGTGCTCCAAGGACATGGGAAATGAGATATGGAATCATTACAAAGACAAAGAATAATATAAGTTTGGCAAATTTTGATAATGGCAAATTCGTGTCATAGAACAGAAGGTAGTACGCCGCTGAGGTGATTTGTGCATTGTGTTGTGTGAAATAACGATAGTAGTCAACGATCGCTGGGAAAAACCATGCGCGAAGCCAATTCATTAGAATTCGGAATAATGAAATTGAAAACACTTCTAAAAAATTTGAATTCTCGTTGAAATGGCGACGAAAAGCTCAATAAAGATAAGGCGATGCCTTTTGAAACGCTCCAATGTGCCTCTACTCCTGCAATAAATTCTCTTCCGTCTGTAGCCAATCGATATGATTGTATCATTTGAATTTTGAGAAACTTATGTAAATAAATAGAGAAGACAGACTAATAAATTGCGTTTCGAATTCGAATTCGAAAGAAAAATCGAATCTGCTCCACAGCACTCTGCCAATACATTTGCAAGAGGATATCTTGAATGAATTTTTCTTTATTTATACAGGGTATTCAAAAGAAAAGCCAGTTTCCCTTAATTTTTCAAAAATTTCTGATATCTCCTGATAGTCGTTGTGGTGCCAAAGGGAATATTTTGGACTGGAAAACGCTTTATTAGCGTCAGCGTGGGGTACCCATTTTCCGACGAGTCGCTTTACCCAAACGATGTAAATGGTCCGCAATTGTTGTGTGGCCTACAGCAGACATTGTTGCAAGTTCCCGAGTCGACAATTTTGGGCCATCTTCTATGGCTTCTCGAAGATGGTCATCGTTAAACGCTGGAGGGGGGTGACCACGTCCTCGATCCTGTCGAGTTTCGTCTCCCTCTCTAAATCGTTGAAACCATTTTTTACAAACTTCCTCTGAATAAGCAGCTTCTCCAAAAACTTTCCAAATTGAACGATGGCTCTCCCAGACACTTTTTCCTTGTTTGAAGTCGGAGAGCAAGCAAAGAGCAAACATTCGGTACTTCTGATCTCCCATTCTAAAAAAGGCCAAAATTATAAGGCAGTAAATTTTTATAAAAACATAGAATTAGAAAAGTTATATAACTTTAAAATAAAACAAAAATTAGACGCGAAGCTGTTCGCTACACCAAAAAAATTTCAACCGAAGTTGAGGGTATTTTCATTCCGGACACCCTAATATAAAGTATGCGCCAAGCATTCGTGGATTCGTTTTTAAGAAATTCCAGTCAAACTTTTTCCGAGAACTTTCTTTCCAACCAAAATAGGTTTCATCTTACTCACATTTTAGTAAGATGAAACCTATTTGAAAGATGCCTGTTTCTGTTTTTTTAGTTCAAATCTAAAAAATTAGTTCTTTTTCCCATTATTATTGGTTTTTTTTCTTAACAACATTTAGGTAATAGGGGTCACTAAGGGTAAAAATTTCCTCTGTTGTGTTGTAATTCATTATTCGTGTCGAATAAATATCCTTTAAATCTCGTGAAGCCTATTCATCGTCAGCAAAAGCTTGTTTTCATATCCGTTTCTTCACTGAATTAAAGATGTTTTTGGAAAATTCGTTTTTCTTTTCCTCAGTTTTATTCAATATTTTGTACTTTAGTTGAAGAAATTAAAGTACTAGACTTTTATAAAATGACTAGCTTTTTTCGGATCCCTTTGGGCCAGGTCAACTCAAAATTCATGGCTGGCTAGAAAAATATGTAAAGATGCTTATTCAGCTTGGCGCTTTCTCGCATTGCACCAGTTTTCCATGTTTCTTTTCATTATTTGATAAAGTTTACGTTTTGTTTTTGGTTTTGCTTTTTTTTGGACTTATTAAAGTGAGAAAATGGGGTCATCATCATGGGCCATCACCATGAGACTTTTGCCATAAAATTAAAACTTTGTACTGACATTGTGGGGTCATATTAGAGTTAATATATAAATTAAGATTTTTAGCCAAACACTTTATCGGTTTAGAACATTCAGTAATCACTTGTACATAGAACTCTTTTAGCTCGCAATTTTTAAAGAGGCAACATGTTCTACTCATCAGCTACTAATCAATAAAGTGTTTGATTGAAAATCTTAGTTTGCATGTTAGCTCTGACACCCGATGCTAGTAGAAAGTTTCAACTTTATGGCAAAAATCTTATGGTGGCTCAGAAATTTCATGCATAAGGGAGTCATGAAATCGAGAAAAGTGAAAAGCATATCAAAAATTTTCCAGTCCAAAATATTCCCTTTGGCACCACAACGACTATCAGGAGATATCAGAAATTTTTGAAAAATTAAGGGGAACTGGCTTTTCTTTTGAATACCCTGTATAAACAAAGAAAAATTCATTCAAGATATCCTCTTGCAAATGTATTGGCAGAGTGCTGTGGAGCAGATTCGATTTTTCTGTCGAATTCGAATTCGAAACGCAATTTATTAGTCTGTCTTCTCTATTTATTTACACAAGTTTCTCAAAATTCAAATGATACAATCATATCGATTGGCTACAGACAGAAGAGAATTTATTGCAGGAGTAGAGACACATTGGAGCGTTTCAAAGGCATCGCCTTATCTTTCTGAAGCTTTTCGCCGCCATTTCAACGAGATTCAAATCTTTTAGAAGCGTTTTTAATTTCATTATTTAAATTCTAATGGATTGGCTTCGCGAATGGTTTTTCCCAGCGATCGTTGGTTACTATCATTTTGCCGCACAACGACAAGCGCAAATCGCCCCAGCCGCGTACTTCCTTCTGTTCCATGTGACGAATTTGCCATTGTCATATGCATCTATAATATACACCGTCTTTATCTTTACTCCATATCTCATTTCCCATGTCCTTGGAGCACTCAACTATTACGAAAGCATTTCACCGAAAGTTCATGTGTATTCGCAAAAAGTTACCCTACTTGGTCTACGAGTAGCTTTTCGGAACACACCATTTTATATTCGAAATTTTGGGAGAAAATTTCCTATCAAACGTTTACCAACAGAGCTTCGAGATGCTATTCTAGTAAAAGTACGCTTAAACGATGCCCTTCGACTGTTATTAATCCCAGAAATTGCACCACGTCAAATAGTTTCCCCGGTTTTCTCGTATTGGCCACATCAAGTCCAAGCGGTGCAATGTGTCCATGTTTCGCCGGTGACTTCGATGGTATTAACAAATTTTTTTTCGAATTGATTTACAATATTTTATATTTAAAAGTACGTTAAACTAGTACGGAGACTTTCTAGCTTGGCCGGTCTCAGTCGTCCCGGATTAGCCAAGAAAAAAAGATTCGATTTCGGCTTTGCATTTATTATAAAAAATTACACAAGAAAAGTCGGGCAATTTACAAAGTTGCCTCTTTTTAATGAAACTTTTATCGGACCGAAACGTTCGAAAAGTTCGGTGCGACCCGCTTTAACCCTATCATCGGGCATAATTTCGTTCCTGAATAGCCGAGTAGAACAAAAGGTTAAACGGGGTTCCCCAAAACGCTCACAACATAACAAGAACACGCAACATCCAGCATAAGGTTAACGCTCGTGATACGAGTACACAACGGAGTCGATAGTAAATTAGTAAAGGATTAGTAAATGCTATGATGTTTTGCAAGATCTAGAACCCGAACTCGGTCGAATCCTGGTCCTGGTTTGAGACAGGCTTATCGAAAGTCTATCTAAGGCTATCTAACGCTATTCTGAGCCTATCTAAGGCTAATTAAAGCCCATCTAAGCCTATCTAAACCCATCTAAACCCTGTCCAACCAGGATTGACTGAAACGTGAGACCTAGGCTTTTCCAGACTGATCTTGACCTAAGCAAAGTATTAGTACAGAACCAAAATGCAACGATACCTATTACAAAAACAGCATGCACATCAATAGAAACATCAAATCCTCAAAAGAACGAAGGCAAAACCGCAAACCAAAAAAGGGCGAGAAGCTACCCAAAAAATTTCTCGAAAAAACCAGAAAACAATTTGGGGAAGAAAATGAGACGAAGATGAGACGCAAATTAAATGCAAATAGGAAGGAAACGAACGCGACTGAAAGGCCTTTTTGGTTCACTTTTTGGTTCACTTTTTGGTCCACTTTTTGGTCCACTTTTTGGTCCACTTTTTGGTCCACTTGTTGGTCCACTAAAAGTCCACTTCGGTTCAAGTGATCGAAGGACCTTTCGCCCGAAAACCCGACCGAAATACAACATTTTCGGGGCGTTTTTGATTTCTTGCGCCTAGCAAAAATTGTGTCCTCAAAAAAACCATGCCTAGTTTAGGCTTCTGAAACATTTGTTCTCGAAAACTAGCGGTTCATTCGTACATTCGAGAAGAGCCCAATATCTATATTGGGCTCTTCTCGAGGTCGTTCCAATTTTGACAAATGTTTTGACAAAAGTGTTCATCAAAGTTTCATCGTTTCCTATTAGCTGTGCGTCTCGTCGGATCGTCGTGAAAGTGAGCAAACGTTAAGCATCTTTCTTCACTTGTTTCCTCGAATGAAGAAGCCACATTTTTATTACGGAGGTTTCAAAAAGAAAAGAAAAAGTATTCATGGCAACTTCCAGGATATGACTATACTAAAGAGGACTTTAGACGCGGTGATGATGTGCGAAAAAACATCACGCGGTTGTGTGAAAATGGTGATGAAGCAGTCGATCAAATGTACGTCAAAGAAAAACGGTGTAACTTATAGGATTAAACTTTCGAAGCTTCCGGATCAGTTCGGTTATCGGTAGGGGTGGTGTGAACTAGCAAATAGCGCTCTAGAATAGCTTATACTGCATCGAATTTGATAATTTTGACACCATTCGATAGCCAAGATTCACCCCTGCAAACAATCAATATAAGTGTCGCAGCCGATTTTGAAATAAACTTTAATAATCGTGGGCAAAAGGCAACAGTGAGGCTGAGAGCGCGTGCACTTACCACCACACCATTCGGTCATGCATGGTTGGCAGACAAGAACCATTATAAACCGGAGGCTTGGCCATTAGCGTAAGTACCCAAATTTGCAACGAGTTTTTCTCGAAAACCAAGAGGTTTAGGCAAAAACTAAATACAGCATCGGATTCCTCATGTCCGAAATACCTTTTCTTTCATAATGCGGCACCGCGGCCCTTTTTGCGCTGCGAGCAGTTTTTAGCTCGCCCGTTATTGCGTTATTTATCGCTCGAGCAGTTATTAGCTAAAATAGAACAGCATGGCTGAGTGGTTAGCGGGTCAGTCTCTAAAGCCGTCGACAGGGTGAAGAGTTCGACTTCGATTTTTGGGGGAGTTCTTTCTCATTTTCAAAATTTTGGGCTGATAAGAGGGTAGAAAGCCTTGGGTGATAAACCAACGTTGAGCCGCCGTGAGGTGGCTCTTATCAGCTTGTTAGTAGAATGAACCAATATTGACCATGCATAAGATTCATGAAAAACAAGTAATTCTACTAAATTGCCATTGGCAAAGTGATAAATTTTCAATGTTTTTCGTTTTTTTTAAAAATTAATGCTAGATTTTAAGTTAAATTAAATTAGATTTTTTATTGATATCTTATCAGCTTGTATTATATTGATAGCTTAAACCTATCTTTTGAATGACAGAATAATCATTCGAATCATTTCAATAGAAGCTAACAATGCGCACTCTACAATAAGCTGCAAGAATTTTGTTTAGGTGCGACAACTTGATGGGTGACTATTTGACAATGACTAACACATGTGCCCCACATGCAAACATCAAACTTTTTGTTTTCATACACCAAAATCTCCCATCAAAAGATTGCGAATTTATTCGCTTGCTGGAAAATGTAAGAACAGTTTACTGGAAATCGCTAGCGGTTTACGAGTTCGAAAAACGACAAAGAGAGATCTCCAGGAAATGCCAGGTTTCGTTAATTTTTGAAAACGTTAATGAAAACTTTTAAGAAACTTGTTTTTCAGAAGCATCTCAACCATGCGGACAAAATTTCGACTCATACTCGACGGAAATCATTGATTCCGAGAATTGTACAGACTCAATAATAAATATTATCGATTGACGATCTGAACTTGTAATAGCTCATTCAAAAGCTAATTTTCAAGCGGATTGGATTAAAAAAAAAACGATTTTTTGATATATCAACTTTCAAAGCTTTTGCAGCCGTTTTACTGAGCGGCGTCAGACCGCAAATTTCAAAAAAATTAATTTTCTTTAAGGAAACCTAGGCTGAAACCATTTTTTTCGGAATCAGCGTTGTAAATTACCCTAGAAAACGTAAAACATAACAATAGTTTACTGGAAATCGCTAGCGGTTTACGAGTTCGAAAAACGACAAAGAGAGATCTCCAGGAAATGCCAGGTTTCGTTAATTTTTGGAAACTTTCAAGAAACTTGTTTTTCAGAAGCATCTCAACCATGTGGACAAAATTTCGACTCATACTCGACGAAAATCATCGATTCCGAGAATTGTATGCACTTAATAATAAATATTAGGGTTTTTGCACACTTGTTCTTATTGGATTGGTTCTTATTCTTTCTGATTTGTGCAAAATGATGAATTTTGTATTAAGGTTTTACACAGAATTTGCACAAAACTGTGCTGGACCAGCTTAAAACGTACAACAGATGTATTCATCATATTCTTCGGCACATCGCCAGCTTCATGAAACATGATGTGAAGCTTCATGAAGCTCACAGCCACACTCCAAAAGTAGAAATCTCGAAAGTCGTCTACAATCTAAAATCTACAATCTTTCTGATTGCTTTTATTTTATAAGTGTTTATAGCCAAAAACTAGAAAATCTTTTACAGAATTTAATTCCTATTACAGGGCCGCGTTCGTTGCCTTCCTATTTGCATTTAATTTGCGTCGCATCTTCGTCTCATTTCCTTCCCCAAATTTTTTTCTGGTTTTTTCGAGAAATTTTTTGGGTAGCTTCTCGCCCTTTTTTTGGTTTGCGGTTTTTTGAGGATTTGATGTTTCTATTCATGCGCATGCTGTTTTTTTTAATGGGTGTCATTGCCTTCCTTTTTGTTCTGTACTATTAGGGTGTCCGGAATGAAAATACCCTCAACTTCGATTGCATCTTTTTCGGTGTAGCGAACAGTTTCGCGTCTGATTTTTATTTTGTTGTAAAGTTATATCTTTTCTAATACTGTTTTTAAAAAAATTTACTGCCTTATAATTTTAACTTTTTAGAACGGAAGATCAGAAGTACCCAGTTCAGGTGTGCTTGCTCTACGACTTCAAACAAGGAAAAAGTGTCCGGTAAAGCCATAGCTCAATCTTGAAAATTTTTGGAGAAGCTGCTTATTTAGCGGAAGCTTGTAAAAAATGGTTTCGACGATTGAGAGAGGGAGACGAAACTCTACAGAATCGAGGACGTGGTCACCCCCCTCCAGCGCTCAACGATGACGATCTTCGAGAAGCCATAGAAGATGGTCCAACCTTGTCAACTCGGGAACTTGCAACGATGTTTGCTTTAGGCCACACAACCATTGGGGACCATTTACATCGTTTGGGTAAAGCGAATCTCGTCGGAAAATAAAAAAAATGAAAAATGGAAAACGGAAAATATCCCATCAACTTAGTGACGCTAATAAAGCTACTCGAGTGACTATGAAATCGACTATGAATATGAAAAATCGAGGTTTTTGGGACACTATTGTGACGGCCGATGAAAAATGGATTTACTACGATAACCCATCGCAAAAGCGGCAGTGGTATAGTCAAGGAGAATAGCGAAAAACGACGCCACAGCGTGAGCCGGATGGAAGAAGGATCATGTTATCTGTTTGGTGGAATTCGCGTGGTCTTATACACTTTGAGGTTCTACCTTCTCGTCCAACAGTCACCTCAGATCTATATGTACAACAGCTGGAATGATTAGACCAGGCTCTCAAGGATCAAGATGTAAACGCATCGACTGTGAGAGATCTGCAAGATAACGCGCGCCCACACACAGCAAAGAAGACGGAGGGAAAACACGAGGAAGGGAATGTCTCCTGCATCCGCCGTATATACCAGATCTGGCACCCTCAGACTACCACTTATTTTGATCTATGAAGCAATCCCTGGCCGATAAACACTTCAAGGACCAAGATGAAGTCCGAATTTGGAGAGGCCAATACTTCGACTTGCCTCAGTACTTCTTCAGCAAAGGGATCCGAGATTTGAAAGAAAAATGGAGAAAGACTATTGCCAACAACGGAGAATATCTTTTGGATTAAAGCGCATGGTTTCCTTTTTGATTAAAAGGGTATTTTCATTCCGGACAACCTAACAGTTACTTCAGTACATCAAACAAATTGGTATTAGGTTGGAAAGAAAGTTCTCGGAAAAAGTTTTCACGGTGATTTCTCAAAAACCAATCCATAAATTCTTTCCAGATTTTTTGATAAATTTGTCCATATTTCAAAAAGCTTTGATAAAAAAAATCAGAGTGGGTTTTAGGTAAAAAATAAGAGATTTCTTCAGCTGAAGTGACTTGGTCACTTTTTGAGTGACCAGCCTTTAGACAAGTTTTTAATGGGTTAATGGATAGGTAGTGGATTCCATTCAAAACCTAAAACAAAGTATTTAAAATAGGGAAAATTTGGGATCAAGGCAAATTTTATCTAATGCTTTCACTTTTCAGAATCACCTATTTTAGAATGGAATTAATGAAATCAAATTCAGAAAACTATTTTAAAGATGTGAATCTAATCAACTACTGTTCAATTTTAAAATGTCAACTACATGGAAATTCATTTTAAAATCTAGGGACTTTGTTTTAAGGCCGCATTACTTTTTTTTTTGTCTTCTTGCGTTACTTGGAATATTTTTCATGAATTCATTTTTTCAAACGACATCAAGCAGTTAAATGCTCAACACAAACATCTCCACATGCAGCCGCACATGGGTAACTCCACATCTTCACCTCAGAAATCATCCAGTCACCAGAGGCTCCATAGAGATACGTGCACGTTTCGTGATTTGCTCCTTTTCGAAAAACAGTCACAATGTCGACACGTCCTTTTTTTATTATTCTTTGGTTTTATTATACATAATCAATTGTTTTTTTTTTCAGAATGAATTTCTTTCTCAACCAATTTGACGCGTATCAAGTCTTGAAAAAGCGAACGCATAACGACGAAAAAATACAATGAAATTGTGAACAGATTGACAACTATGTCAAGTGAAAGTGGAAGCGAGAAACGGAAGCGAATGACAGAAGAGGCAAATTGGGCACGTCGTTACTCGATTCAATGTATTGAGCAATCAACGATACTCTACAATCATGGAGAAAAAGGAGCGAATGAACAACCAAAACCAATCCTGTGAAATCAAAACCTCATTTGAATCGAGCCGTGTTCGCAGAAGCCGATTACAAATTGTACACGGCAAGCGAAAAAAATTTCATTCGTAATCGGCTAGCCGCTAACGAATGATTCGTTAGCGGCTGAATTTCGCTACGACATATATTTTCCAAAGTTTTCTTGTTTGATTTCGATTTTTCTGAGTTGTACTTTATTACCATTTAAAATGTGCAAACGACTTCTGCGAACATGGCTCGATTCAAATGAGTTTTTGATTTCAAAGTATTTATGCAAAACGCAAATCAGCAAACTAATCACAACAAGTGAAATGAAATTTATAACATTTAACATGTATAACATGTTAACGTTTATAACATAATAACGTTTATAACAAACAAAAATCAACTAAAATGCATGCGGAACCGATTGAAGGTCAATTAAATCGACTTGGCAGCGTTCATTTTGCTCTTTCGTTATGATCGGCTTCACAGCAACTCCTTTTTTTGACGTCCCCTTCTTTAATTCACATTCGCAAAGTTTGATAAAAATCTCGAGCATTTCCTTTGAGATCCCGTGATAATCTCCTCGCAGTTCTTTCTACATCAGATCCCGGCCGGCGTGTCCTAATCTTTTGTGAGTTGACGTCAAAACATCAAAGAGTTTCTCTTTCTTGACGACTCGTTTTGGTTGTTCGTTCGCTCCTTTGTCTCCATGATTGTAGAGTATCGTTGATTGCTCAATACATTGAATCGAGTAACGACGTGCCCAATTTGCCTCTTCTGTCGTTCGCTTCCGTTTCTCGCTTTCACTTTCACTTGACATTGTTGTCAATCTGTTCACAATTTCCTTTATTCTTTCGTCGTTATGCGTTCGCTTTTTCAAGACTTGATACGCGTCAAATTGGTTGAGAAATGAATTCATTCTGAAAAAAACAAATGATTATGTATAATAAAACCAAAGAATAATAAAAAAAGCAGAAAGAAAATGAATCCGAAATCTCTGATAACAATGGGGAGAAGTCCTCCCGGAGGACCCAATTTCAGCAAAGGGGCATTTTGACAACTTTTAATAACTCGCTTCAAAATCAATTTTTCTCTTTTTTCTTTTTGTTTTTTGCATAAAAAATTTGAAATCAAAAGCCTGGTAAATTCATTTGAAGCTAGCCATGTTCGCAGAAGCCGACTACAAAGATTTTGTAGACATCTAGTGAAAAAATTTCATTTTTAATCGGCTAGCCTTTTACGAACGATTCGTTAGCGATTTCATTCGTTAGCGGCTGAACTTCGTAAACGACTACGACATATAAATGAGAGAAACAAGGCACTCGATTCAACGATTGATTTGATTTTCAAACAGACAAAAAATCTCAATTTTATATCATAGTAGACTTATAATAGGGTGATCATTACATTGGTATCAATATCAATAACATTGATCAATATCAATAAAATCGATCAAGACGATCATTGCATTGATCAGTAACAATAAAATATCAATACCAATTTTACGAGTATGCAAAATTTTAGTCTCTATTAATTTTGTTAAAATTGAGTCACTTTAGCTGAAGAAATTTCTTATTTTTTCCCTGAAGCCAACTCTGATTTTTTTGGTCAAAAGCTTTTTGAAATATAGTCAAGTTTATCAAAAAATCTGGAAAGAATTTATGGATTGGTTTTTGAGAAATCACCGTGAAAACTTTTTCCGAGAACTTTTTTTCCAACCCCATACCACTTTTTTTTAA